CTCTTCTCTCCGCTGACACTGCCTCTATTCCCACCCCTCATACCTATTCTGAGGCAGTGTTTGGCTTTCATGCAACTGAGTGGATGGCTGCCGTCATTGCCGAGTATGAGGCATTCACCAGAACTCAATCCCTGCAGCTGTGAGGCTGAGATCTTGCAGGGCAGGGCAGCCTGCACGAGGAGATCTGGCTGCGCCGCCCACCTGGATTCACTGGGTCGTTTCCTCCTGGTACCCAGTGGAGCCTCCGGCGGCCAGTCTACGGTCTCCGCCAGGCACCCCGTGAGTGGCACGACACACTAAGGACTACACTTGCGGCTCTTGGGTTTGCTCCTTCTACTGCCGACCTGTCGCTGTTTCTGCGCACCGACACCTCTTTGCCGCCGTTCTACATCATCGTGTACGTCGACGACTTGGTCTTTGCCACTGCTGACACTGCTGGACTCGCCCACGTGAAGTCCGAGCTGCAGAAGAGACACACGTGCACAGACCTGGGTGAACTGCGCAGCTACCTTGGCTTGCAGATCACCCGGGACAGAGCACAGCGCACCATTACTCTGACTTAGTTACACATGGTGCAGCAGGTCCTTCAGCGCTTCGACTTCACGTACTCCTCGCCTCAGGCCACTCCTCTGTCTACTCGCCACTCGCTCTCAGCTCTGCCTTCGGATGAGTCCGTAGAGCCGAGTGGCCCGTACCCAGAGCTTGTTGGCTGCCTCATGTACCTGATGACCTGCACACGACCTGACCTAGCATACCCTCTTAGCATCTTGGCACGCTATGTTGCTCCTGGGAGACACCGACCAGAGCACATGGCTGCAGCGAAGAGGGTGTTGCGCTACTTGTGCAGTACGTCGGGCATGGGGCTAGTGCTTGGAGGGCGACGTCGAGTGGTCCTCACAGGTGACGCAGACGCTTCTTGGGCTGACGACCAGGCTACGCAGCGGTCGTCACAGGGTTACACCTTCAGCCTTGGTTCCAACTCTGTCTCGTGGCGGTCTACCCGCTCGTCTTTTGTTCTCGGCTCCAGCTGTGAGGCTGAGATCTACGCGGGGGCCATGGCTGCACAGGAGCTACGCTGGCTCACCTACCTGCTGACTGACCTAGGAGAGCCGCCTCGTTCTCCTCCAGTTCTGTACGTAGACAACAAGGCCATGCTGGCCTTGTGTCGAGAGCACAGACTGGAGCACAGAACGAAGCACATTGCTCTTCACTACTTCCTTGCTCGTGAGCTGCAGCAGCGTGGTCAGCTGCGCCTTGCTTACGTGGCCTCTGAGGCCAACACTGCTGATATCTTTACCAAGGCACTTCCGCCTTGTGATCATCAGCGCTTCTGTACGATGCTAGGTCTTGTGCCTACTTGGCCTCACTTGCTCACTTATTGACCTTGCTTGTACTATGATCTTTCTATACCTGCACTTGCTTGTTTGCCTTTATATATGATCTTGCATGTGAACTGGCCTTGTGGCCTTGAACTTGTGCTCGGAATGTGTGGTGACGTTGTGATCCACCCTGAGCTTGCTTTGCTTTGCTTGACTGGTCTTGTGACCTCTTGTTCTCCCCCACTTTGCCTATGGGGGTGTGTCAAACTCATATGCTATAGTCTGTGTAGGCTGTAGTGGGGTAGACAATATGGGGTACAACACTTTTAGGTTTTCCTACTTGTACCCACCTGCTTGTTAGTTCATTCATTCCTCATTTCTTCATATTTTCTAGGGTTACATATTTGTACCGAACTCATTTCCTAGTCCATCATTCCTCGTTCTCTCACATGGTATAGAGCAGGTTCCCTAGTGGGAACGTTTCCTAGGGCCCACCACGAAAATCGAAAAAAAAAAAAAAAAAATTCCTGCCAGGAGCGCGCTTCGCTCTGCCCGAGTCGCGCCCCGTGTGCCTGCCCTTCCGTCGCGTCCCCTGCCCTTAGCGGCCCGTCGCGCCCTCTTACGGCCCCGTAGCGGCCCCTCTCACAGCCCCTCCGCGGCCCTTCGCGGCCCCTCTCACGGCCCTTCGTGGCCCCTTAGCGGCCTCCCTTCGCGGCCCCTTAGCGGCCCCTTTGCGGCCCCTTCACGGCCCCTTAGCGGCCCCTTCTCGGCCCCGTCGCTGCCCTTAGCGGCCCCTTCGCGGCCCCTTCGCGGCCCCGTCGCCGCCCTTAGCGGCCCCTTAGCGGCGTCTTCGCGGCCCCTTCGCGGCCCCTCGCGGCCCCTTCGCGCCCCTTCACGGCCCCCTCGCGGCCCCCTTCGCGGCCCCTTCGCGGCCCCGCCCCGCTGCCTGTAGCGGCCCCGCCCCGTCGCCAGTCGCGGCCCCGCCCCGTCGCCCCTGCCTCGTCGCGACGCCTCAGCGGGACCCGCGCGTCGCCCCCGCCTCGTCGCGACGCCCCTGCGGGACCCGCGTGGCGTCTTCGCCCTGCCCTAACCCGCGCCCAGGAGCAGCCGCCACTGCAGCAGTCGCCCCTGGAGCAGCCGCTCCTGCAGCAGCCGCCCCTGGAGCAGCCGCCCCTGTAGCAGCCGCCCCTGGAGCAGCCGCCACTGCAGCAGCCACCCCTGGAGCAGCCGCCCCTGCAGCAGCCGCCCCTGGAGCAGCCGCCCCTGAAGCAGCCGCCCCTGGGGCAGCCGCCCCTGCAGCAGCCGCCCCTGGAGGAGCCGCCACTGCAGCAGCCGCCCCTGGAGCAGCCGCCCCTGCAGCAGCCGCCCCTGGAGCAGCCGCCCCTACAACAGCCGCCCCTGGAGCAGCCGCCCCTGCAGCAGCCGCCCCTGCAGCAGCCGCCCCTGCAGCAGCCGCCCCTCGAACAGCCGCCCCTGCAGCTGCCGCGGAGCCCTCGCCCTGCAGTGGTAGCGGCCTCGCCGTTGCCGCCGTCGTCCGCCTGCCCTTCTCGCCACTGGTGAGCACTGCCCTGCCCATACTGTTGTTACTGCTGCTCTTGCTGCTACTGCTACTGCTGCTCCTGGCGTGGCCGGATGCAGCTCCAGCGCCGTCCGCGTGAGTCCCTCGCCCCCCAACAGCTTCGTGAGTGGTACGCTAGTTGGGGTTGTAGGGGTGGCCGCGCTGCGACTACTGCTACTGCTACTGCTGCTGCTACTGCGGCTACCACTGCTCCTGCTGCTCCTGGCGGTGGCCAGATGCAGCTCCAGCGACGTCCGCGTGAGTCCCTCACGCCTCAGCAGCTTCGTGAGTGGTACGCTACTTGGGGTTGTCGGGGTGGCCGTAGTGGGAGTCGTCCTGGAGTGAGTAGTTCGGCAGCTGCTTGTAGTGGCCAGGTGCAGCTGCAGTGTCGTCCGTGCGCGGTCCTTTCGCCCCAGCAGCTTCGTGAGTGGTACGCTCAGCGTGGAGGGTCACGGGGTACTGCTCGTTGTCCGTACGTCATTCGCACTGGTGCTCGGACTAGTCAGCCTTGCGGGACGTTTGGTCACGCAGAGTCCCGCTGCTTCGCCCGTCTGAGCGACGCCTGGCGTACGGAGTTTGGCGACGCGGCTGAGCTCCCCGACTGGGTGGAGCTGCTTAGGCTGAGGGTAGATATCTATACTCTTTACTATGATGCTATCCTCACTGCCATGTATGCATTGCCTACTAGTGATGAGGGTGACTGTTACCTGTGTGTTCCGCCTGACCCGGGCATTGAGGCTGCTGCTCTAGGTGCTGGTGAGGCTGCTGCTCTAGGTGCTGGTGAGTCTGCTGCCCCAGGTGCTGGTGAGTCTGCTCTCTCAGGTACCACGTCGGCTCAGGCCTTACACACCTTCACCCTTGACTCGGGTGCTTCCCGCTCCTTCTTTCGAGACCGCACCACACTCACGCCGCTTAGTCGGCCAGTTGCGGTCTCCCTGGCAGACCCCTCTGGGGGTCCTGTCCTTGCCCACTTCTCCACTGTCTTACCGTGTCCGGCGGCCCCTTCTGGCACCCTGTCAGGTCTTTACCTCCCCTCGTTCTCTACGAACTTGGTGAGTGGTGCTGATCTACAGGATCGGGGGGTTGACCAGTTCACTCCCGCGAGTCAGCGAGTGACCCACTGCACGTGTGCTCGGACGGGCCGACACTTGGCCACGTTTACCCGTCGGCCGGGGTCGAGCCTGTACACACTGACTACTGAGTCTCCTCCGGTTGCTGCGTCTGGTTAGGTAGCTGCGTCGGGTCAGGTGTTTGTTGCAGCGTCCAGGTCTGGTCCTGAGTCTGCCCCCTGCTCGTGTCGTCTCCTGTCTCACCAGACTCTCCTCTGGCACCACCGCCTTGTTCACCCCTCCCTGCCTCGTCTCCGAGGCATGGCCTCCCATGTCCTTGTCTCTGGTCTCCCCCGGTCCCTCCCTCCTCTTCCTCTGGGGCCTGCCCCTACCTGCGTTCCCTGCGTTGAGGGGCGGCAGCGCGCTGCTCCTCACTCCTCCGAGTTTCCTCCGACAAAGGCTCCGCTGCAGACCCTTCACATGGACGTGTGGGGCCCCGCCCGCGTCCGTGGACAGGGTCACGAGCGTTACTTCCTGCTGGTCGTTGACGACTACTCGCGTTACACCACAGTCTTCCCCTTGCGCAGCAAGGGTGAGGTCACTGAGGTGTTGATCGACTGGATCCGCGCGGCTCGTCTCCAGCTCAGAGAGAGTTTCGGCTCGGACTTTCCTGTTCTGCGTCTGCACTCCGATAGAGGCGGAGAGTTTTCCTCTGACCTTCTGCGAGCCTTCTGTCGTGCACAGGGCATCCGCCAGACGTTCACACTTCCGGCCTCTCCACAGCAAAATGGGATTGCTGAGCGCCGCATTGGCATGGTCATGGACGTTGCTCGTACGTCCATGATCCATGCGGCTGCTCCCCATTTTCTGTGGCCCACGCTGCTCCTCGCCTTCCCCCGCCTGCTCTCCGCCAACCTCGCTTGGACTGCCCTCTCCCACCACCCGTCCACCCCTCCCTCACCACCCTGCACCTCTCCCACTGCCCCCTCCTTACCATTGGCTTCCCTCTCCCCTCCTCCTCATCCTCTCCCTCTGCCTCATCTCCTCCTCTTCTCACTCCTCCCTCTTCCCTCCTCACCTCCTCGCGTCCTCACTCACCACGACCTCTGCCACTCGCGCGGCGCCACGCTTCCTCCTCCTCCGCACCGCACCAGCCTCCACCGCACTCCACTCCTCCTCCACGCCCTCACACCCCGCCCTGCGGCTAGCTGTGGTTACAAGCAGCAGTATCCCTCACACACCTCCACCTCTCCTCTGCTGCTGTCTCTGACGCCCTTGTGTTACACCTCGCCCACCCCCGTCCCCACACGGTATGCCAGCTCCTCACCACTCTCCACCGCACTCTACTCCCCCTCCATGCACACACAACCCGCCCTGCGAGCTGAAGTGGTTACAAGCAGCAGTATCACCCTCACACACCTTGATCTCTCCGGCTCACTCTGTCTCCCCTGCTCATTCTCATCCCGCCGGCTCACTTTGTTTCCCCACACTCTTCCAACCCCTTCCCGTCAACCCTGCCATTACCCTCTCTCCCACTCCCAATTCCTTCCCCGACACCCACCCGTGAGGGGTTGAAATGTTCCACCCGTCCCCCAATCCCACCCGTCCATTCCCCCACTCCTCCCCGTACAGTAATCCTCCCTTTCACCAACGCCAACCCTCCGCTTCCCCCACGCACCTCCCTTTCCCGCACTACTGCCCTGTCTTTCCCCAACTAACACCCCCCCTTTCCCCCAATCCTTTCCCCCTGTACTCACCCATCTCTCCCCCTGTTTACTCTCTATTCCTCTTCGTTCAACCCTTTTCCACCCCCAAGTCCTCTCATTTCCCCTGTTCGCACCCCTCCTTAGCCCTTGCTTACTTGCTTCCTCCTTTGCTCACCCCCTTCTCCACCCTGCTCACTCTCTTTCCCCTTTTGCTCACCCCCTTCTCCACCCTGCTCACTCCCTTTCCCCCTTTGCTCACCCCTCTGCCTTGTCCACTCCTCCCATACATGCCCTTCTGTACCTCCACCTCCACCCCTCGCTTATTCTGCCATATCCCCTCTTCGCTCCCTGTTCCATCACAGAACCATGCTTGTACAGGTGCCCAGCACCATGGGTCGTGGCATGACAGGAGTGGATTGAAATGTTCCACCTCCTAGCTTTGTGCATGTGCCTATAGTCCACTCTTGGAAACCTATAGCTTGCTTTGTTGCACTTCCTTGTAATGGTCATGTGCATTTCTGCTCCAAAACACAAAGTTGTGCATTATGAGAAGCATCCAACATCAATATATGACAGCTATTTGTCATACGGTACCACTATCATCAAACAACAAACACATCACAACTGGATGCATGGCAGACCTGCACACACACGAACCACAACTCGGATGTGTCAAAGTTGAAGCGGCGGGGAAGGATACAGGACAAAGTCAATGGAAGGGCAACGGCGGTAGGGAACAAGGAGTGCACGGAAGGAGAGAATGAGCAAGGGGGACACAGAGGAAGGGCGGAAGGGGGGGGAAGATGAAGAGTGGTTGTAAGGGGGGAGAGAGCAGGGAAAGGCACTGAGCCAGAGAATTGGGAGAGGGAATAGATGAAGAAAGGAAGGGGGTGGGAGAGGACGACGTTGGGTAGATGGGTGGAAGGGAGGGAGGAAGGAAGAAAGGGAGGATGGGAGGATGAGAGGAAGGGAGTAGGAGGGTGGGAGATGGGAAGGGGAAGGGGGACAGGATCGAGAGAGGATGAGGAGATGGGAGAATGGCAGGAAGGGGACGGGAGGAAGGGAGGGAGGACGACGCATCTACCCTGTCGATGCCTCTACCCATACCCAAGCTACCCCCCTGTCGATGCATCTCCCCATCCCCAAGCAACCCTCCTGTCGATGCATCTCCCCATCCCCAAGCAACCCCCCTGTCGATGCATCTCCCCATACCAAAGCCACCCCCCTGTCGATGCATCTCCCCATGAGAGAGGCGGAGGATGAGAGAGGCGGAGGTGAGAGAAGCGGAGGGTGAGAGAAGCGGAGGGTGAGAGAAGCGGAGGGTGAGAGAGGCGGAGGGTGAGAGAGGCGGAGGGTGAGAGAGGCGGAGGGTGAGAGAGGCGAAGGGTGAGAGAGGCGGAGGGTGAGAGAGGCGGAGGGTGAGAGAGGCGGAGGGTGAGAGAGGCGGAGGGTGAGAGAGGCGGAGCGTGAGAGAAGCGGAGGGTAAGAGAAGCGGAGGATGAGAGAAGCGGAGGGTGAGAGAGGCGGAGGGTGAGAGAGGCGGAGGGTGAGAGAGGCTGAGGGTGAGAGAAGCGGAGGATGAGAGAGGCGGAGGATGAGAGAGGCGGAGGATGAGAGAGGCGGAGGATGAGAGAGGTGGAGGATGAGAGAGGCGGAGGTGAGCGAGGCGGAGGTCAGCGAGGCTGAGGTCAGCGAGGCGGAGGTGAGCCAGGTGCTTTCGCCTGCCCACGCGATCCCCCCTGCCCATGCACCTCCGCCTGTTTGTAGGTCGCATTGCCTTTGCAGGGCAAATCGTGACCTAATGTCGCCGTCGCGTTGCCCTGCCGGCCAAAACGTGACCTAATGTCGCCGTCGCGTTGCCCTGCAGGGCAAGTCGTGACCTAATGTCGCCGTCGCGTTGCCCTGCAATGCAAATCGTGACCTAAATGCGACGTCGCATAGCTCTGCAGGTCGAATCGTGGCCATCGGTCTGCTAACGTCACAACGCACAACTACATTTCCGGTAATGTCGGTTTCCGCGACTTTAGCTCTCCCATACCTTTGTAATTCGTGATTAGCGCGCGCCCGCTTGTCGGTATGTTGGCTAGTTGGCGGGCTACGCGGGTTCAATAGTGGGTCCTAGAACTCGCGAATAATCAGTAGCGTTTTTGGGACAAGTTTCTCTTGCCTGTGTGCCTCATGTTTACGCAGGTTGGTGTTGGGCGATGTGCCGTGCGATGAAACCCAACTGGGCATTTGTCGCTGCTACACTGTTCTAGTTTGGCGAATGTTCTGGACCAGGTTTGTGTTTCAAAAGCTTGCCTCGGCAAATCGTGGTAGATTTTGTGCACGCGTTGCTCGCCTATGCGTGGTTCAGTAGGGTTGAAAAAAACCTGAACGACATCCCCCAGTTGTTACCGCTTCAGATGGCGTTGTACCAAAGATAAGTGTGCTGAAGCAGTGCAAAGATGAAGAGGGTGCTACCAAGCTGATAAACAGCACAGAAGTGAAGGCAGCTACGTGTACTGTAATCTCGGAAACACATGTCAAACATTATACATGTTCATATTGTGTAGGCTATAGTGGGTTTAGCCTTAGGGGGTACAACATTGCTAGGGTTTCCTACTTGTATCACCCTGCTGCCTAGTTTCACACATTCTCGTTCAGTTCTACATTCTAACATGGTATCACGAGCCTAGGTTGCTACCTAGGACCACTTTCTCCTACGGGCCCACTATTCCGCTAGACGCGCCCTCGTGCGTCCTACCTTACATGCGCCTTTCTATACTCGTGCGCCCTCGTGCGCCCTCGTGCGCCCTCGTGCGCCCTACCTTACGTGCGCCCTCGTGCGCCCCCGTGCGACCCGCCCTTCGGTCTGCCCGTGTGCCGTCCTGCAGCCCTCGCGCTGCCTCCTGCAAGCTAGTACGGCCCTCGAGCCGCCCCTGCAGGCCCGTCAGGCCCGAGAGCCGCCCCTGCAGCCAGCGCGCTGCCCTGCCGAGCCGCGTGTCGCCCGTGGGCGCTGCCTCTGCCCCGTCGCGCTGCCCTGGGGAGCCGCGCGCGACCCCCGCTGTCCCGTCGCGTCGCCCTGGGGAGCCGCGCTCGGCCCCCGCTGCCCCGTCGCGACGCCCTGGGGAGCCGCGCTCGGCCCCCGCTGCCCTGTCGCGACGTCCTGGGGAGCCGCGCTCGGCCCCCGCTGACCCGTCGCGACGCCCTAGGGAGCCACGCGCGACCCCCCTCGCTGCCCCGTCGCGACGCCCTGGGGAGCCGCGCGCGCCCCCCCCCCCCCCCCCCCCCGCTGCCCCGTCGCGGCGCCCTGGGGAGCCGCGCGCCGCCCCCCCCCCCCCCTCGCTGCTGCCCGAGCCACCCTGCAGCCCGCGAGCCGCCTCTGCAGCGCCGAGTGCGCTCTGCCAAACCCTAAAATAAATAATTAATTATTAAAAAAAAAAAAAAAAAAAAAGGGAGCAGCTGCCCCTGGCCCCTGGAGCAGCCGCCCCTGGAGCAGCCGCCCCTGCAGCAGCCGCCCATGCAGCAGCTGCCCCTGCAGCAGCCGCCCCTGGACCTCTGCAGCCGCCCCTGGCCCCTGGAGCAGCCGCCCCTGCAGCTGCCGCGGAGCCCTAGCCCTGCAGTGGTAGCGGCCTCGCCGTTACCACCGTCGTACGCCTGCCCTTCTCGCCACTGGTGAGCACTGCCCTGCCCGTATTGCTGTTACTGCTGCTCCTGCTGCTACTGCTCTTTCTACTTCTACTGCTGCTCCTGGCGTGGCCAGATGCAGCTCCAGCGCCGTCCGCGTGAGTCCCTCACGCCCCAACAGCTTCGTGAGTGGTATGCTGGTTGGGGTTGTAGGGGTGGCCGCGCTGCTGCTACTACTACTGCTGCTACTACTGCTACTGCTGCTCCTGGCGGTGGCCAGATGCAGCTCCCGCGACGTCCGAGTGAGTCCCTCACGCCCCAGCAGCTTCGTGAGTGGTACGCTCAGCGTGGAGGGTCACGGGGTACTGCTCGCTGCCCGTACGTCATTCGCACTGGTGCTCGGACTGGTCAGCCTTGCGGGACGTTTGGTCACACAGAGTCCCGCTGCTTCGCCCGTCTGAGCGACGCCTGGCGTACAGAGTTTGGCGACGCGGCTGAGCTCCCCGACTGGGTGGAGCTGCTTAGGCAGAGGGTAGATATCTATGCTCTTGACTATGATGCTATCCTCACTGCCATGTATGCATTTCCTACTAGTGCTGAGAGTGCCTGTCACCTGTGTGTGCCGCCTGACCCCGGTATCCAGTCTGCTGCTCTAGGTACTGGTGAGGCTGCTGCACTAGGTGCTCGTGTGTCTGTTGCCCCAGGTGCTGGTGAGGCTGCTGCTCTAGGTACTCGTGAGTCTGCGCCCTCTGGTACTGCGTCTACTGAGGCACTGCACACCTTTACACTGGACTCAGGCGCTTCCCGCTGTTTCTTTCGTGACCGCACTGCCCTTGAGCAGCTTGCTCGGCCGGTTGCAGTCTCCCTCGCTGACCCCTCTGGGGGTCCGGTCATTGCGACCTCCTCTACTGTTCTCCCTTGTCCTGCAGTCCCGTCGGGCACTCTGTCAGGTCTCTACCTCCCCTCGTTCTCTACGAACTTGGTGGCGGGTAGTGCGCTCCAGGACGGGGGTGTCCACCAGTTTACCCCTGCCTACGAGCGTGTGACACACTGCACGTGCGCTCGGACGGGCCGCCACCTGGCTACCTTCACTCGGCAGCCGGGGTCGGACCTGTACACACTGACCACCGAGTCCCCACAGGTAGCTGCGTCTGCGTCTGCGTCAGGTCAGCTGTCTGCCCCCTGCTCGTGTCGCTCTCTGGCACACGAGACTGTCCTCTGGCACCACCGTCTTGGTCACCCGTCAGTGCAGCGCCTTCGTGCCATGCACAACCGGTACCTTGTCTCTGGTCTTCCCAGGGTTCTCCCTCCACTCCCACCCTCGCCTGCTCCTCCCTGCCTTCCCTGTGTCGAGGGGCGGCAGCGCGCCGCTCCTCACTCCTCCTCGTTTCCCCCGACGACTGCTCCCTTGCAGATGCTCCACATGGACGTGTGGGGCCCAGCCCGCGTCCGTGGACAGGGTCAGGAGAGGTACTTCCTGATCGTTGTTGACGACTACTCGCGCTACACCACGGTCTTCCCCTTGCGCACCAAGGGTGAGGTCCCTGATGTTTTGATCCCTTGGATCCGCGCTTCTCGTCTCCAGCTCAGTGAGCGGTTCCACTCGGACTTTCCTGTCCTGCGTCTGCACTCTGACAGAGGTGGTGAGTTCTCCTCTGACCTCTTGGCAGCCTACTGTGCGGAGCACGGCATCCGCCAGTCGTTCACGCTTCCGGCCTCTCCACAGCAGAATGGGGTTGCTGAGCGCCGCATTGGTTTGGTCATGGAGGTCGCTCATACCTCCTTGATCCATGCGGCTGCCCCCCACTTTCTGTGGCCCTTTGCGGTCCGATACGCTGCGCATCAGCTCAACCTCTGGCCCCGTGTCTCCGTTCCGGAGACTTCGCCGACACTGCGTTGGACGGGAGAGGTTGGCGATGCGTCGCGTTTTCGGGTCTGGGGATCCCGAGCTTTTGTTCGCGATACATTCGCGGACAAGCTCTCCTCCCGCGCTGTTCCCTGTGTCTTCCTTGGCTTTGTCCCGGACGCGTCTGGTTGGCAGTTTTACCATGCCACCTCGCGCCGTGTCCTGCCCTCTCAGGACGTCACTTTTGACGAGTCCGTGCCCTACTACCGCCTCTTCCCCTACCGCACTGCCCCGCTCCCCCCCCCGCCTCTCTTCCTCGTGCCAGGTGCTGCTGTGGTAGACCCCCTCCCCCCTCAGGGTGCCGCTCCCTCAGGTGTGTCCCAGGTAGACCCGGTTGAGCCTGTCGAGGTAGCTGTCGACTCTCGTCCTGCCAGGGGTGCTGAGCCTGAGCGTGCGGAGCCTGGGGTTGCGGAGTCTGGGGGTGCTGAGCCTGGGGGTGCGGGGTCTGGGGGTGCGGAGCCTGCGGGTGCTGAGTCTGGGGGTGCTGAGCCTGGGGGTGCGGAGCCTGCGGGTGCTGAGTCTGAAGGTGCTGAGCCTGGGGGTGCTGAGCCTGGGAGTGCTACGTCTGAGAGTACTGAGCCTGAGCGTGGTGCACCTGGGGGAGGCCTCTCCTCGCAGCAGCTGCGTGAGTGGTACTTACAGTACTGCAGCCTCAGGAGAGGTGCTTCTGGAGCTCGGAGTGGTGCCGGAGCTGGTGCTAGTGCTTCCCCTCCTAGGCGGGAGCTGCCCTCTCCCCAGCAGCTCCGAGAGTGGTACGCTAGGCGCTGCAGTCTCCGGAGTGGCGCTCCCGGTGTCGTGGACTCTGGAGCTTCTGGAGTTACTGGAGGTGCTGCTGCTGCTGGCGGTGCGGCTGGCGCTGCTAGAGGTGCTACTGGTGCTGCTGGAGCTGCTGGAGGTGCTGCTGGCGCTGCTGGAGGTACTACTGGTTCTGGTGCTGCTGGAGCTGCTGGAGGTGCTGCTGCTGCTGGCGGTGCGGCTGGCGCTGCTGGAGGTGCTGCTGGTGCTGCTGGCGCTGCTGGAGGTGCTACTGGTGCTGGAGCTACTGGAGCTGCTGGTGGTACTGCTGCTGCTGGCGGTGCTGCTGGCGCTGCTGGAGGTGCTGCTGGTACTGGTGCTGCTGGAGCTGCTGGAGGTGCTGCTGCTGCTGGTGGTGCTGCTGGCACTGCTGGAGGTGCTGCTGGTACTGGAGCTGCTGGGGACCCTGCTGCTGCTGGCGGTGCTGCTGGAGCTGCTGGGACTGGCCCTGCTGAGGGGGTTGG